CATTCAGACTTATTTCCGAGTCAAAACTGAACTGAAGGTCATCGGACATATGTCCGACCCAAACTCAACGTCACCGGACATTTTGTCAGACGGCCCTGGAAAAGATATTTTAAGGCTTGAATATTTAATTATCCAGTTGTGTTTCTCAACCGCCTACAGGGCCGTAGTGGAGAGGCTAAGGTTGGGGGGTGTAGTATCACATTTATTATATCCATTAAATAATTGATTATATCCATTAAAGAATTGATTATTTATTGATTACATCCATTGATGAATTGATTATTGATTATATCCATTGATGAATTGATTATTTATTGATTATATCCATTGATTATTTATTGATTATATCCATTGATGAATTGATTATTTATTGATTATATCTATTGATGAATTGATTATTTATTTATTATATCCATTGGTGAATTGATAATTTTTTATTATATCTATAGATCAACCCACCTCCTCCTCTTCTTTCATGTGAGGCAAAAAATCATCAATAAATTCCTTGATGGCATTCTGTAGCTCAACCTTAAACGATGACCTTTGCAGATTTCCGTTGAGCATGACGGCCTTCTTAACGAGCAAGAGAATGTCTTTAACATGCGTATCGTGATGGATGTCGCACAATATGTCCAAAAGTTCAGATTTTGCAACGCGAGTCTTGAGTTTTGCTAAGATGTATTGGTTTTCAATCTCCTCGTGGTGTTTGAACTCGTGAAAAGTGTGATTTAGAGAGTGCAAAAGTCCTTCCACTGCAAAATCATCAGAAAAATCTGTACCAAACACCTTGAAAATAATGAAATTGAACAGGTAAATTCGTCTGGCGTAAGAAAAAATAAGTAGGTTGCACTGGGGCGTATTGCGGCTCAGTGGGTTAACTAGACACATTGTCAGATTTTTTTGGCTAACTATACTGTGCTTCCCCATTGACGAGTAAAATCGTCTGGCGTTAAGGCGGATTTCCAGTCCTCGCACGAAGCTCCTCGCAGCTCGCTTCGTGCGAGGACTGGAAAACCGCCTTTAGACAAGTAAAAAAAAAAATAAGTAGGGCGCATTGCGGCTCAATGGGTTAAGCCATTGGGTGGCAGCAATTTCCCCATGACAAGTAAAATCGTAAAATACTCTGGTAATATAGCAGGGTGTTAGGCTCCAGGGATGGATTCAGCATGATCTGGTAGGGGGGGGGGGGGTGCTCTGCCAGCTCTGGTACCGAGTTGTGTTGGTCATGTGTGCCACCTGCCCATCAACTTGCTTCACTAATGCTTGACTACTGTATTTGAATTTAATTGTTGTTCACAGTTCACTTATCATCATGTTATTACTCAAATTACTGTATCTCATTTTGTCTCTAATAATTTTTTGCTTTATGATGAAAAATAGCAACCCCTCTGGCCAGGGTTAGGGGGTGCACCCCCCCCCCCCAGTAAATCCATCCCTGGTGTTAGCTACAGTAAAGGATTTTGAATTATATGGCATTTTCACAATTACGCAATTTTGGCAATTTTGCAATTTAGATCAACCAAAAACATAACCATATAAAAACAGTAGACAATTTTGAAACAACTCCCAATTTTACAAATCGACCATTCATTTCATGAAATTTTTGATAAATATAGATTGTTTGGGTATATTATAATTTGAAGTTCTTTAAATAGCTGTTGAAACTTGCAGTTTTTGGCACCAATGCCAATCACACATGCTTAATTCATGCATTTCCCTAATTTGCATATTGTTATTTTACTTTTTTTTACAATAACAATATGCAAATTAGGTAAATGCCATGCATTTATAAAAAATGCAAAGTTTCAGCAGCTATTTAAATGACTTAAAATTGAGTGACTTTTCTGATATTTGGACCATTGATAAAACACATAACAAGTTTCTCGCCCATGAACCCAAAATGCGCTTTAAACTTTTAAATTTTGTGCGCAGGCTTTTCAATTTGAATGCTGCTAAAAGAGACCCCATGCAGGGCTCGAAACTCGAAATTTTTGTCAGTATCCAAGTGGATACCAGCATCATAGAATCTAGTATCCATCCTTGAAATATAGTAACCCAGATTTGGATACTAGATATTCTATTTTCAGTATCTAAGCAAGGCAAAATTTTACCTTGCAACTAGGCCTTCAGTTGCTGAGCAAACACCAGGCCTTTAGTTTCAATAATAAAAATATGTATTGAAATACGAAAAAATTGAAAATAACACACTGCGGCGATACGAAAGAAAGCACCGTTTGTGAATTTTTTTTTAAAAATATTCTGCCAAAATCCGTAGACATTGAAGTTCGGAAACATGCCAAACGTCTAGATGATTATCTACTATCGCAATTTCTAAGTTTTCCTAGTATCCAGTTGGGATACTGAGCTTATGATAGCCAGTATCCAAAATTAAAATCTGATATCCTGTGGATATCGGGATACCGCAAGTTTCGAGCCCTGCCCCATGCCCTGGAAAATCTATCTTTACAAAACGTTTTTTTGTTTATTCTATTCTACATTATAAGTCCGGTACCCAAACAATATATATCTAATAAGTTATTTGTATATGTTTGCATGGCGATAAAACATATAATAGTTTTGTTTGTGGAAACACCACGTAAATCTATTACTGCAAAGCTTTCGATCCGTAAGCCCGGATCACAGAATAGATATAGGACCAGAAGTGTCACTCAGACGATATTTTGTCCGAAATTTTACGAGTGCTGATGTGAAAATACGCCATCATATGACGCCATCCTGGAATGCACACAGAAGTTTTTCATAGGAAAACATAGGTACAAAGTGCCGGGTGCACTCCAGGATGGCGTCATAGCACGCAAAAAAATTTCGGACGTTTTCCTTCAGCCAAAACACATAGGAGTGACACTTCTGGTCCGGTATCTATTCTGTGCCCGGATCTTCATCAGTGCTAATAATATGTTTTAGTATAATTATATAGGTGATTATTGAAAATTCTCCACGCTGATTGGTTACCGTTGAGGTGATTATTACGTGATAATCACCTAAGCGATTTTCAAAATGGCGGCTGAAGCCGTTTTGTCAATTAATTAAAAGACAAAGAAATGTGCATTTTTAAATTTTTTTCCAAATAATCACCTATGAAATTATATTAAAACAATTGCTCACCTCAGGCTCGGTGATTATCGTGAATAAAAACCTCGACTTCGTCTCGGTTTTTATTCACCGATAATCACCTCGCCTTCGGCGAATAATTGTTAAATAATATGTCATATTATTAGCACTGATGAAGATCCGGGCTTACGGATCGAAAGCTTTGCAGTAATGAAATTACGTGGTGTTTCCACAAACAAAAATTTCATGACATGAACGTCACTTAAGAAACACAATAATCCTTAACTCCGATCTGAATCTCACAGGCTTACTGAAATTTCCAATTTCATCATCAAACCAATTTTGACACCCTGCCTAGACCACAGAGTACATACATATACAGAGTTGTAACTAGTGTACCCACTTTTTTTGTGCGCGTGCTTGGCAAGTTACTAGATGCATGCGTCTGATCGGATGGCGGCTTGTTTTAAAACTTGCCGAGCACACGCACGTTGATCATTGGGTCATTCCAGAAAACATCCATACCACCCCCACAGAGGAAATTGGAAGTTAACCCCCCTACCCCCTTCGGATGTCCTAATACATTTACTATTTATCAGAAACAATTTTGTCTCCCCTCCCCCTCCGGACGGCAGAAATTTCCTCCATGGGGGGAGTGTGGATCTTTTCTGGAACGACCCATTTTTTGCTCGGTCACCTGAAAAAAAGTGGGTCATGATAAAGTAAGCTTCCGCAGTGTTTACTGTCAGTTATGCCTCTGTATATGTATTTACTCTGTGGCTAGACTAGTTTAAAAATAATAAAATGGGGGCAACGTCATGGTGCTTGGCCACTTTAAGGGTTTATTATAATTACAATTCCTTGCTTCAAAAGACAATTAGAATGACCTCATTTCAAAAGCAATTCACTACAATTAAAAAATTACCCTCTCAGAGTTAAATTAGATTTGGGGTTATGACCAGTGGTTAAATTATTTAAAACACTTTAATTAATACCATTGTGCGAGTTACATAATTATCTAAAACGGGCCAATACTACATATATTTTGAAGTATACTGTTTCTTATATAAAGCTCTATTAAATCTGTGCTAAAAATATCCCCCAGCTAAAAGGTCGTTGAATTATACGATGCTTGTAGGAATTTTATAATGCCTTCTACTGAGAATCAAAGCAAAAAGTACACATTAAAAGTCATTTGCAATTTTGCACTGTCATATTTGGCAAATCGTTTGCACAGTCCACTGACTACGTTCCTACAAATTTTACAAAATCTACCTGGTTAGACGTCTCTTTAACCAGCTGCTTCATCCGTGTATGAGGAATGAGAAACACATCTACTTCGCTGTTCATTTTCACAACGATTTCTTTGCTTTTTCGTCGACAATCGAACAAATTTCGAGCGAATTATTGAAGTGCCGTCCGAGGTGCCGTCTGTTTGTTTTTGTTCATCATGAATAAATTTTCTACATCCGCATTCCGCACCAGTGCTCTCACAATCAAATTTTCTAATTCCTTAGAAAAAGCTCGAAAATTCCTCAGATTTCCTTAAAATTCCTTAAATTGGTAAAATTACTACAAGGCCTGACCACAGAGTTGCAAAAAGTGTTTTTTTTTTCACCTGATTTACCTGAATTTTTCGAACTGAACGTTCTTTAAAACCGTATTTTTCGAAAATTTGAAGTTTCTAGACCGTCGGAAATGGTATTTTTAGAGTCTTTCATACCCAATATTTTAGTATTGCCTAACAATGAAGATAAGTACTGCTACTTTCAGTTTAATGGGAAATTGAGAAAATTTTGGAAATTTGGAGTCTCCAGATCGTCAGAAAGGGTATTTCACAATTGTCTCCCTGCCACAACACGTCTCAACGTCTTTAGTTTGTTTGATTGTTAACTCCAATTCAGATTAGAGAGTTCACTTTTTTATGCCATGAGAATTACCTGAATTTACCTGAAAATCTACAGGATATCTACCTGAAATTGTTCATGAGCAATATTAGGGGTGTTGCACCCTCCCTCCCCCGGTCGCTAGGGCCCTGAGCCAGTGGCGGCGCCAGGCTTCCAAATTTGGGGGGGCATTTGAGGGGCAAACTCAAATTTTGGGGGGGCAAGATCGAATTTTTAAAAAGGTCGCCCCCCAGGAAATTCGCCCCCCCCCCCCTCAAAACGTGGCGATATTCCTAGGAATATCGCCCCCGGGGGCGAATATCCTAGGAATATCGCCTCCCAGGGGGGTGGGGCGAATACCCTAGGAATATCGCCCCTCTTTAGGACATTCGCCCCCCATATATGCGATGTGGTTTATTAAAATAATTTCGTGATACTTTCATCTTATTATTGCCTTACACGTTTGAGAATTTAACTCTGCAAAACTAAAGCTTTTTTGTCTTTTTTTGAAACGTATTATTGGAGTATTGGCAAGTTTTACCATTCAGAGATTTACAAACTAATATTGAAACTGTAAAAAACAGTTTCATGTATATGCTCATTCACAAATGAGTAATGACAACTTATAAGCCATACATTTTCCGATAACGACAGAACACTTGTGTAGCCTTTAGTCGCTCTTAGTGACTAATCATTTTTTTGAGGGGGGGCAAAATGGGGGGGGCAAAAAATAATTTTGGGGGGGCATTTGCCCCCCCCTTGCCCCCCCCTGGCGCCGCCACTGCCCTGAGCACAGGAGGCCCAGGCTAGGCGGGCGCGGGCAAATCGAGCCTGGGCCCTGTGCCCTGAGAACTTAGAAAATCTGTAGATTTCAGAAGAAACAGCATACACTGACATTTAACTTTTGAGAATTTTAATGGAAAGACAAGCCATATGTACATTTACGACATAGAGAACATACGAATATATGTAATTATGTGCATATAGTGTTGCTACTTTCAGGTTTAATCTCATTTGCGTGGTTATTCTCCGTCAAACGTTTTTAGTCCAGGATAAAATGTTTCCGAAATTCCTTAAAAAAATCCTCAAAAACCTAAATTCCTTAAAAAAATCCTTAAAACTCTTCAAAATTCCTATTTTT